ACTCACTTAAGTCACAAATTCGATGGTTTTACGATCTTGCATGTCAAAATATGCCAAATATAAGAGTTTTGAGAAACTCACTTAAGTCACAAATTCGATGGTTTTACGATCTTACATGTCAAAATATGCCAAATATAAGAGTTTTTAGAAACTTGCTTAAAGTCACAAATTCGATGGTTTTACGATCTTACATGTTAAAATATGCAAAATATAAGAGTTTTTAGAAACTCACTTAAAGTCACAAATTCGATGTTTTTACGATCTTACATGTCAAAATCTGCCAATTATAAGAGTTTTGAGAAACTCACTTAAAGTCACAAATTCGATGGTTTTACGATCTTACATGTTAAAATATGCAAAATATAAGATTTTTGAGAAACTCACTTAAAGTCACAAATTCGATGGTTTTACGATCTTACGTGTTAAAATATGCAATATATAAGAGTTTTGAGAAACTCACTAAAAGTCACAAATTCGATGGTTTTACGATCGTACATGTTAAAATATGCAAAATATAAGAGTTTTGAGAAACTCACTTAAACTCACAAATTCGATGGTTTTACGATCTTACATGTTAAAATATGCAAAATATAAGAGTTTTGAGAAATTCACTTAAAGTCACAAATTCGATGGTTTTACGATCGTACATGTTAAAATATGCAAAATATAAGAGTTTTGAGAAACTCACTTAAAGTCACAAATTCGATGGTTTTACGATCTTGCATGTCAAAATATGCCAAATATAAGAGTTTTGAGAAACTCACTTAAGTCACAAATTCGATGGTTTTACGATCTTACATGTCAAAATATGCCAAATATAAGAGTTTTTAGAAACTTGCTTAAAGTCACAAATTCGATGGTTTTACGATCTCACATGTTAAAATATGCAAAATATAAGAGTTTTTAGAAACTCACTTAAAGTCACAAATTCGATGGTTTTACGATCGTACATGTTAAAATATGCAAAATATAAGAGTTTTGAGAAACTCACTTAAAGTCACAAATTCGATGGTTTTACGATCTTACATGTTAAAATATGCAGTATATAAGAGTTTTGAGAAATTCACTAAAAGTCACAAATTCGATGGTTTTACGATCGTACATGTTAAAATATGCAATATGTAAGAGTTTTGAGAAACTCACTTAAAGTCACAAATTCGATGGTTTCACGATCTTACATGTCAAAATATGCCAATTATAAGGGTTTTTAGAAACTTGCTTAAAGTCACAAATTCGATGGTTTTACGATCTTACATTTTTATGCAAAATATAAGAGTTTTGAGAAACTCACTTAAAGTCACAAATTCGATGGTTTTACGATCGTACATGTTAAAATATGCGAAATATATGAGTTTTCAGAAACTTGCTGAAAGTCACAAATTCGATGGTTTTACGATCGTACATGTTACAATATGCAAAATATAAGAGTTTTGAGAAATTCACTTAAAGTCACAAGTTCGATGGTTTGACGATCTTACATGGTAAAATATGCAAAATATAAGAGTTTTCAGAAACTCACTTAAAGTCACAAATTCGATGGTTTTACGATCTTACATGGTAAAATATGCAAAATATAAGAGTTTTGAGAAACT